TTAAAGTGTGTGGAAAATCATGTTGTATTGCTAATTGAAACATTGTGCAAGGCATGCAGTGAACTGGTGCGGATATGCTACATTACTCGTCTTCTTTTTGCCATCTTCCAGACATACCTGCTTGATTTACATTCTCTTTATGTTTCTTCATTTCCACGCCAACACCCCACCCCCTCCTCCTTTCCTCTTCCTCCCTCCCTCCCTCCCTCCAGTGGACTGTCACTGGGCTGAAATCACACCTGTGCTTCTCACACATCTCGGCACACGGGTGAAACATACGCAGGGTGAAACATGGTGAGGGAGCTTTGCTGAATCTCATTAGCCAAGCGGGTAGTCATTAACAGAATGACCTTTGGAAATAATTACCAGCCTTCCTCCCTCCATCCCTCTTTCCCTCCCTCCTTCTCTTCTCGCACTCATCCATCCCTCTGTCCCTCCCCTTCCCCCTCTCATTTAATAGTTCCTCCTAAGTGAGGACAGGGGGAGAGAGCAGGAGAAAAGAAGGGAGAGAAATTAGTTGAGCATAGGTGGCGAGGCAGGTCCCTGCTGCTGCTGTTTAAGATTACAGGGTGAGCTGAATTTTCAGATTAGGTTAATCTGCTGGAAATGGGATTGGCCAACGGCCTTTCCTCTGGCAGGTAGGCAGGTCAGCTCAGCACCAAGAGGCATGTGCCATTCCATGTGATACTTGAGCCAATGGCATCAGAGTGTGCTGTGCTGGCTGAGGTCATCACAATGCCAACAGCTCTGCAGGGTTCGAGCCAATTGTCACCGTGTATGTACACATGCATACACCCATGCAGTGCAGTCATTGCGAGCACACGCGTACACAGGCCAATTCAACTTTGTGCGTGTGCATATAAGCACAATATCTCATATTGTACATGCAAATACACGCAAATATGAAAGCATTTGAGCCCTCAGGTATATCCAGGCATTCAGGGGGCATAGTTCCCTCACTAACGCTTTAGTTGTTTCGCAAACCTGTGTTCTTTGTTTCAACAGAGGGTTAAACAAACACATTGTGGAACAGGGATTTGGCACAGCCCAAGTGTGTAGTTGGATTTGGGGCCGTTCAATCACAGCAAGAGCCAGCCAGCGCTGCTTAGGTTTGGGCTTGATCTGCAATCATCGGGAGGGGAAAGAAAGGACTCTTTCATTTGCTAACGCAATAAACCACCCCCGTACCGGCATAATAAATCACCAATAAGAGATTATAAAAAAAGAGAGGAAAAAGAAAGGGATGGATCTTTTCTCTTGTCATTTCCCAACACGGCTTCCCATTTCTCCTCTAATGCCATTCTCATGTCCAGGAAACCAGCCGGGCAGACAACGAGTATGGGAAATCTATCTGCGTGTTTGACTGTTTTATCTGGAGCCAGACTCAGAGTGTACTGTAGACCGGCCAAGATGACACATTTGGACCCTGCTCGGACATCCAATGACGGGAGGATCCGCCTCTGTGTTTGCTTTCATCAAGCTACGAGAGCCTTGATGAGCTTGCATCTCTCTTTGAACAATTAGCATTAATTAAGAGGACCTCCCCACTTGTTTATGTAACAGCTGATAACAGCGTGTAGTGCATGTTTTATTATAGTCTCTGAGGGGGAGACTCTGCGAGTTTAGATACCACTGTATCCTGCATGACATGTGTGGCTTGCAATGAAATTACGCATTAAAAAAAAACATGTCCTCAGTTTGTTTCAGATTTCCACTGTTTTATGTAATTATTATCGGTTTCTAGGGGTCATAAATTGTAAATGTGATAATACTTGTAGCCATTTGGATTAGCAATGCTTCTTTTGTTTTACCACTTGTGCTTCAAAGAGGGTTAGCTTTAGTTTCTTGGTCTTTTGCTTTCACAGATATTTGTGGAAGTGTCATTCCCAGCTGAGACTGTTTTCAAGTGAGTCATCAAGACCTTCTTTACCACTCCTCTCTCTCTCTCTCTCTCTTTTCAACCTCCTATTTCGGTGTCTTACATACACCCATTGACCCATCCATAGATTCAGCCTAATACAAAGAAACATCTTAGAGATTATGTATGTTCAATGAAAGAGAAGAAAAAGAGTGAGCGAGGGAGGGATAGAAAAAAGCCCTCCGGCCTCTTGTAAACATGCTGTAGCTAGAGAGGCTGTGCACCGCTCTCAGTGCCACTCTCTGAACAACACTAATTATCAACCAAAGACATGCTAATTACATAGAGCTTTATTGCTAATGTAGCAGGCCTCTATGCCATCCGCCCACACTCTGAGCTCCGCTCCCCTACCTCTGCCTCTCCTCCCACTACACCTTCAGGCACAGCAGCAACAGAGGGAGAGAGATGCATGCAGTTTGTATACTTCTAAAGACAAGAGCTTCCTACAAATTTTGAAATTAAATATGCTACATATCATGTCATTGAGTTTTTTTCCTCTATGGGGGGGACCTAGATTTCATATGCACCTCTAAATCCAGCCCCCCCCTCATGTTCTTGACCTCCTCCTCATCATCCTGCCATCTCAACAGGAAGTCCGCTTTGCTCCTGTCTCCCCCCCCCCCCAAACTCAAAAGCCCACCCACCATTATGCACCTGTGACGTAGCCTAGCAGCGGCACATAAGGCTCGGCGGGATAGATCCAACCCACCGTTCCCCTCGCTCACCCTCCCTCTGCGCACATCCTCCTCCCACCCATGCTAAACGTGCTAGTGTCAGCCCCGTGGCCAATCCCGTTAGCACGCCGCAGCTGAGGATGAAGGCCTCTTCAGATCGATTTCTGCCGCTGTGAGTTGCTCAGAGTCCTCCAGGGATCACAGTGTAGGTAGTGCTCCACGGCACTCGCCCCCACTAGGCTCTTTAGCGTCTTCCCCTGACACGGCTGTTTACACGTTAGCCATCCTCTGCTCTCTAATGGAGACACTGTTAAAGAGAGCGTCAAAGCGGGGAGCTCTCGTCACAGGCACTTGCTGAAACATGTGACAACTCTCTTCATGGGTTCAGCTGGGGCAGGGTAATGCACTGACTATACAGTGGCTGAAGGGCTTGCTGCATAAAAGACATCAGTCCTTTCAGGCAGAGTGGATACTAGATAGGTTAATGTAAATGATATAATGCACAGAGAATCATTTTGTATCCCTTCTGATATACTAGGATACGATTCATTTTGCACAAACTGTGGCAATACATATGTATTGCTAATAAGATGCAAAGCTTTGATTACACAGCGTAGATGTAGACAGCGTTACTGATTATTTAATGTTTTAGAATAACACACATCATATTATAACTAAGATAAAACTGATTTCATAGTTTATAAAGGAATCTAAGCTTACAAAGATGTAGCCTCATCCACATTAACAATTCAAAAAAGGCTCAATAATATGAATGACAGGAAGGGAATAAGAGCACATCCTGCATTGCAAAAAAGAATAAGCTGTTATGCTGTCTCTCGTGGATTTATTTGTGTTCTAAGTACTGTCCATGATAATGCACCAAGTCCATTCTCTTTGTTTTCGTCATTAAGGTTAGTCGTATGTTGAGTGCTGTATCCCTTGATGTATGGGTTACATTAACACACTACATATTTGACTGCACCAAATGTACACGGCGATGGAACAAAAGCAACACATTTATGCTGTTTTTTAACCTCCAAATACGCTAAGAAGGAATATGTAATTATATATAGAATGGGAATAATGTAAGACAAAATCTTCTCCAAAGCAAAAGACATCTGATATGAATGTGTGAATTCAAAAGGTTTATAGTCAGGTGCAGAGTGCCATCTGGAATAGCAGGACTGTTGCCGGTGGGCCTGTCCACCCGTGGGCGGGCGACAAGCACAGCAACACCCATATGAATGAAGATAAAAACATGTCCCATGCTGTTTGATCCTGTGTTAGACTGGACAGCCAGCTCCATAGTGTGCTCAGAGTATACGTTCATTTTGTCTCACTGGGTACACACTTTTCTTTCGGTATTTATTTTTTAGAATGGTAGACTGTCGTGCATGAATTGTGACCACGACACCCTAACAAATTAACATTGTGTTACCATCAGGTGCCTATTTCATTACTAACTGAGCATGCATACACAATAAAAACAAGTAAACACATCAGGACACAGTTGAGGTTTACTATGACCTCTAAACTGACAGAATTGTAGGCCTACATGTTGGATATATTATCGGTATTTGTTATTTATCACCATATAAATAAAGCCTACTGTAAAAACAAACTCCTATTTAAAGAATTCATGTAGCAAGCATGGATTATGTGAATTATGTGATATTTTCATATTGTTGAACAATACTATTTATTCTTTGTGGGACAGTTTAATCAGCAAACATGGTGTGAGTGTAAATGTGTGTGCTGCACAAGAGAAGGGGATAACCCCTGCATGAATGCATGCAAGTGTGTGTGTGTGGCCTGCCGAGCTACAGTGTTAATGTTGCATGACAGGTTCACGTTGGGAGCTTAAGAATCCTGGAGGGTGCCAGCGTCATTTCCTGCTTTATCTTCCTGCCTACTGGCTGGCCTGACAGCGCTGTTTAACATCGCCTTGAGCCATACAAGCGGCATGTGTCCAAAGCAAGTCAGATCAACATCCTCGTCTAAGAGGCACATCACTGGTGACAAGACACCAAGGGCAGGGGCTGGTGATTGCACACCACAGGGGACTGTCTGAAAGGTCCAGATCAATGATAGGCTAACACGTTTTTGTTACAAAGTACACACAATACAAGGAGGCAATTTAAATAAACATATTCTCTTGAAAATAACAATATAATGTAGGTGTTAAAATAGCTTTTTTTAAATTTATATTGGGACTGGACCCTTGTGGAAAACCGACAAACTATGGGAGCAATTATTTTTTACACTATGTTAGGTGTGAAGAACAAAAGAGGGAAGTAAGGGTTGCTAAATGAGTCACAAATGCTGTAACCATCTGTCTGCTTGTGCGTTTCTGTGTGTTTGCATGAGTGTGCATGTGCTCCTGTGCATGTGTGAGCGCATCTTCTTACCTCCACAATGTCGGAGTTGGTCCTGCTCTCATGGGGCTCGTTGTACTCGGTGTATTTAAGCAGGACCTTGTCCATGTCTGTGCTGGCATACTGGAACAGCTTGTTGGTGCTATTGAAGATGATCAGGGCGATCTCACAGTCACACAGCACGCTCAGCTCATACGCCTTCTTCATCAGGCCAAACTTTCTCTTTGTAAATGTCACCTGGGTAAAAGAAGGAGATAAAGAAAATATACATATTCACTGTGAGGCATTGACGATTTATATTCACACATCTAGTGTCCCTGAACTGAATGTGATTCACCTATAATCGAATCAATCATACATGTCTGACATGTAGTCATAATTTAATTATAGAAAAAAGTCCCCCATTCTCTCAATATTCGCTCTAATGAGAGAATAAATAGAAATCTGATGTAACTTTTACTCTTTAAAATTAGTAATTCTCAGGGAAACTGAATTAAAGGAAAGTGGAGTCTGCTGATGGTTCAATGCTCCCTGACTGTAACAGTCCATTGACTACACCAGGAAAAAAAAAAGAAGCTGGGTTTGTATTTAGGGAACTGAAAATACTCAGTCTCAGACAGATAACGGTTATTGCTTGTACATCAAAGCGCACAGAGGTTCATCATACAACATATGTCACGTTAAATAGTCTCTTTTTCATGGCCCGAATGTGCTCGCTCGCTCATTCCCGCTTTGACACAAATAAATACACAAACCTATAACTTGGTGTAACTATTTTCATCTAAAAAAATAGCTGAGGCATACTATTTATTTTCTGTGACATTAACACACATTGTTCAGTTGTTTTTTTTTGCCCAATTAACCGCCTCTCATAGTGAATAACAAACCATTGATATAAATAACGGATGGGTTCTGACTGCGCTTGAAACTATTTGTGAGAGCTCAAATAGTGACAATACACTCAACTTAAACCACAACATTTGTCTTCTCTAATGGGGCCTTTTCTCTCTCTCTCTCTCTCTCTCTCTCTCTCTCTCTCTCTCTCTCTCTCTCTCTCTCTCTCTCTCTCTCTGGCGTGTGAGTGCATGCATGTGTATGTGTATGTGTGCGGGGCCCAAGATTGGTAACTTAAATAACACACGCATACAAGTGCCCACATTGTCAAAATAGAACAGCCTCTATTCCTCTATTGTTTGGATCAAAACTAGAGCAGTGAAAGTGAGCTGCACCTGGTTTCCTTTCCAAGCCATGTGTGCAAGCTCTTTGGCCTGTATGGTAAAACAAGAAAATGTGCCACTGCCAGCTTCCTTGTCCGAGCAACACTGCGTTTTTGCATTGAACTTTCTTTCATTTCATTTCCTTCTGTGACTGTGTGTATTATTTACATTGAAGATCTGTATTGACAAAGCTTCTTCCAGAGGAAATACTGCCAAAGCTGTGCCCAGCAGGTGGCTAATGATCTCAGTTTGTTGATTAACTGCATGTTTGTCTATTCTCTTCTGACACTCAAGTCGGCCAAAAAACACAGAATGAAAACCTCCCAACACTCAGTTAAGTAGATATAAAGGCCATAACCGTAGACTATGAAAATCTTTACAAAGAAAGGCTTTAAAGAAGAGATCTCCGTGTGTGGTAAATCAGGGTAATGCATGACTTGCGGCATAAATCTATCATGTCTTGCCCTTCAGATTTTCTATTTACTACTCTGAGGTCTGAAAGAGGAGATAGGGTTGAATGGCTATTGATAGATAGTTTTGGATTTCCTGAAATGATATATCCCAGGATGCACCAGGGAAACTGAATACCAAGCTATCCCTCACCGCGAGTAGGTAAAACCTTGCATGAACTGCCGTATCCTGGACCAGATAAAGTTTTCCAGTGATGTCATCATGTCACGCCGAGCTATGTGTCAGACAGCAGAGGCTGAAACCAGAGAAACGGACGGCATTCTAACTCATTACACAGCGGCGTGTGCAATGTTAGGTTCTGTACCGCAGCACAAACACGCATCTGATTCACCGACGACATCGGAAGAGAACGTTCCCCTGGGCTCTGAATACCATGCTGACATTTACGCAGTCATACTGAAAAATGAAAAAAACAAATCACATTCTCAACGCTGTAAGATCAAAAGGCATCTTGTGACAATACAATTAATTGTCATTTCCAACCCACTCTGAGCTATATGGTCCAAAATTGAAACATGCACACGCTACAGGGGTCTGCCAGCCTTACAACCGCAGAGCTACAATACAAATCGTATACGAGCGAGTGAATAAGATGACAGGACGGTAGGACATATGGTCAAAGCAGGCTATTCAGGAACAGGACATGTAGAGTGTTGTCTTCCCCTGGTATTTTGATGCAAGGGGCATCGGGGCAAACACAGGACACAGCTAGCTGCCGGCCCAGCTCCGTTATCACCCACTCACTCACTCAGTCACTCTGCTGGGGCCATTAATGTTTCAAAAGGTGGCACGTGGCGCACACAGTGGGCTGGGTGTGAGTCCCAGAGGTCCAGAGCTGCTAGTCTCAAAGTGGAGGTAAACAGGCCCCCCCAGCAAACACAGCAGTATTTGTTTGAAGTTGTACCTGGATGACACTCATACGCTGCTTCTCATTTCAACATGTAAAAGAATTGAAAGCAGAATCCAATCAAAGTTATGTCGAGCATCAAACTGTAAATGAGGAACTGTGTTTGCATTCTTATTCATTCTACTTCTCATATCGACCGACTTTAACAACACCGCAGGAAGAGAATGAGCGTGATTATGAAAAGCCTTGACTGACCAAACAATAACACCAACATAAATATCACACCGCACCCCCACATCTCAATCTGACACGTACAACTTGCTACCTTCCAAATCACATATATTACTAACGCTATGCACATACCCACAGGCATCCATATACAGTGCAAGCTTGCTTGAAGAACTACGCAGGTTTTAAGAGAGTTCCTTGATGGTAAATACTGATGCAAAACATCACGTGAAAAGTACTTATTTGTGCTGTACCTAAGCTATGTGATCTTTACGTTTAGTATTCAATTTTACAGCTTGAGGTAACTCTGTCGTGACTCCATGGCCTCACATGATGCCGTCATGTGACCCTTTCAGCCCATCAACATTCAAGCTGGCGCTGTCACCACCGGCCTGTCCTGTGCAAGGTCAAAACGTCTCCCACACAGCAGCTGTAAGTGCGCTGGACCTTTATTCGCCGAGCGACTGCTCTGCACTCTGAGTGGGTCAAACACATGCTACGAATGGCTCAGTGGATCTACAAACATGTACATATATCTGACAGTTAGAGACACTGGATGCCTTTCTGAGCAGAAACATGTTTACGACAGAAGGACTGAGTAAGTGAAAAAAGTATATTCTATGTTCATGATATGGTAAAATGATATGATAATTAACTTATTTTGTAAGCAGCGCATTAAATGGAAGACCAATACAAGTTTTACCATGTGACAGTATTTTCTAAGTGTAAGTAAGGGAACTTATTTCTATTTATCACTGTGTATAATCTTATATCGAATTCATCTGTGAATTTTTTGAAGCGCCATATTTCTGATGCTTGGGGTTTAGCCTTTGGATTACATTGGACTTGTTGTTAAACCAAAGAAATTGTAAACCTCCCCTATGTCAGAGTGGTTGTAATCTTTGTGTCTTGGTCAGTGGGTGCTGCTAGACACACCACTGTGTTAATAACGGAGAGCATGACGTTGCAGCACATTTGGAACTTTACATACTGGTAAAAGGGCCCAGTGTGAGTGTGTGAGTGTGAACCCAACTGTGTCTTTTCACAGTAAATTGGTAACCAGAGTGTGAACCCTATCTTCACACGCACACAGGAATATTTTGTAGACAATTTTAAAAATGTGTTGTGGTAAAGACTAAATAATGACATAATGGGACACTTCACATCAACAGCTAAACCTTTTAAGAGATTACACTGTTATGGAAAACCTTGTGGAAGTGATAGTAAAAATATTCCTCCAAAATTTTGGATCCTTTTCGAAAGAGACAAAAACACCCCCTCCGCCCCATCATATCTACTTATTATATACACCAATACCTCTTTATACATGCTACATGAGTCTCAATTACATTTGGCACATAATGAGCACTCTGTCAACCCGTAGGCATAAGCATCGTGAACATACACTGTAGACTCATAGTGACACACAACTCTTATTCGTTCACCCCTATCCTCCTCCGCCAACCCATCCCAAGAGAGATTTAGACACATGCACACACAAATGCAGTCAGACACCCCCCCTGTAAACACCTAAAAGTGTTATCATCATATGTCCTTTCAGAGCACATCCCACGCTATTGTACATTTTCGTTCAAACCAACATCATTTAGCTTTTCTTTCTTTGTTTTTTCTTCATTCTACATGTTTGTTTCCATGTAAATAAAAGTGTGGTACCGCTAGGAAAATAACCAATAAATAATAAATTATGAAAATAAAATAATCTGTTCTGCTCTACACAATTGACTTGTCACATTTCCTCTGGAATAAAAGGAGAAAAACGCCCAGGATAAACAGAGGGACGGAAAGAAAGGAGGGATAGTGGCTGTTTCTATGCCACATGGGTGAGAGGGGAGAGAGAAAGAGGGGAGGGAGGAGGAGGGAGAAGAGAGGGGGCGGACGCACAGGAAGCACATTTGTATGCATTTCCTCTCATAACAGGAAGAGGCCAGTGGCTTCCCCTTCACAATGGCTTCGCTTCTGCTTCCCACCTCCTGCCTGCTTCCCTGGGGGAGGAGGAGGTGTAGGAAGAGGAGGAGTGGAGAGAAAGGCACCAAAAACTGCTGGTTAGCAAACCAAACATGGCTGTGCGGGGACACACACACGCAAGCACACACACTCACACACACATGGATGTCAGTCAGCTATGGAGCAGCACGATTTGTCTTGAGACAAACACTTATCCCATTGTCAGGGGCCAAGCAGGAAGACACGGGCTTACGCAAAAGGAATAAGAGGAGCCGAAGACCTGGATTTGAACTCTGCTTCACAGCCAAAGAAGCTGTTAAAAGGGGCATTACGACAAAAGAGGCTTTGTCCCACCTCTAATATATGCTCTGCTCTTCTAAAGTGCGTCCTCATTACACAGTAGGAACAAGAGGCAGCAGAACTCCAAACGTTTCTTTTTTCAGTGTCTGAATCGAAAGTGTCCATGCACTTTGAGTTGGTTAAAAGCTGACCTGTGCAACTGATTGAGTGGTGTCTTAATTATGCCGATTTTAGTTATAGGTGTCTTAAAATACATGCCAGTTTAAATTGTTCTTACCAAAACTTGTAATTACATTTCAGGACAGCACTGTAATGGCTGGCTAGGCCACTTCTCTGTATACTCTTGTTTATGCTGAAAAACCACAGCTGGAAAAGGATATGCCCACTGGCAAAAAGGCCCAAGTTAGGGGCCGGAATGACAAAAATAACTTTTTTGTCATTCATTTGAGGTGGATAAACTTCTGACACTGTATACTTAAGGCAAATGATGTCCCCGCACATCTAATTGTTTTCGTGATTTCTGCTGCAGGTTTTCACAAAGTGTTCTTATGATAAGCACAGCTCAGAATTAGCTTCTAGTAGTAAAACAGGAAGATGTATATGAGCAAGTCATTTAAAAAAAAAGCAATATATGAATGGCCAGTCTACAGTCGCTATGTGCGACAAATGTATTTTTATAATCAGATTTTTCCACATTTATGAATTAGGAATATTTCATTTTTTATAGCCAATATACAACTTGATAAATAAACTGACTTTTACTTTCACAATGACAACATAACACAATGAGCACAATATACTATACTAATAGCAGGCAAAGGAAAGAACAGAGAGAAAGCTAGACCAACTATCAAGACAGAATGAAAATTAGAGAGGTGGGTTGGGAGAGCCATGTGAAGAACATGTGAGCGAGAACCAAAACAAGACATAAGTTGAGAAGGCATAAGAATACGACAATACAGCGGAGAGAAGGTGCAGAGCTTAGTGAGCCCTTTTCAGGTGAGGCCTCGAAGCGCTAAACATATGAGTGCCACCCGCTGGGGTAAAAGAAGGAGATGGTAGAAGGTGGGAAATAGGGAATTAGAGGAGGGGTGCAGGGGTGAGGAGCTACCCTGTGGGCCTCATTATTTTCCTGCTGTTAATTTCAAATGCACATTTTCTCACCCCACTGCTGTTGATTGGAGGAAAGAATGCTTTGTCGCAGAAATAAAAAGAGAACTTATTTCAGCTAGCTGCAGTTAACATGGTGAGGGAATAGAGGCGGCATATGCAGGACGACATAAAAAAACATTTTACCATCTCTTCCAGCCAAGTATGTGTTAGTGTGACTGCTGTTTGTGGGAGCTGGGAGATCCTGCTGTTTTACTTCCTGTCACTGATGACCTGATCCATGTTTAACCTTTGGCCCTGGGTCCCTTCCCCCTTGAAAATCGCATGTCCCTCCCACACACACACACAGATTTGTACAAACAAGTCATCCTAAATTAAGCCCACTGAGTGTACTGGCTGGAGAGGTAACACTAATTAGAGCCAATTGCAGCAAATTAGTCGATCCACAAGACCGACTCCAGAGAGATACACGTTTTAGATGTGTACATGTTTAGAAGCATGCATTGGTCTACGCTGCATAAACCTGACGCCAAAATACACCATCTAAGTATGTGTTTGACTGTATAATCTGAATGTCAAAAATCTATACCAGTGTGTGCACAAAAATACCTGTGCATGCATCTGTAGGTGTGTGTGTGTGTGTGTGTGTGTGTGTGTGTGTGTGTGTGTGTGTGTGTGTGTGTGTGTGAGATCTAGCTGTGGCAAGAGAGTCTGCTCTCTGTGAGCAGCCCATGAGTTTATGGCACAGGGGGCTCTTTCATGTGCCCGAGGCTGGGAGAGGGTCTGAGTGGTCAGGGGGCTTGGAGCCAGGGCTCCACACTGCTGCCCACTGTCCAGAGCTCCGGGCAGCCAGTCAACGCCAGGGAGGCCTGGCCCTTCTGTCCCTGCTCTGGGGAAGTGTTTCTGGGCCTGGGGGTGGCAGCCCAAAGTGGCCGCCCAGAGAGAGAGCCAGGCCTTGTGCCTACTATCATACTGCCGCTGCAGGGAGGGCAGGGGTTCGGGAGGAACCGTAGCCCTGTAGGTGGCAAGGTAGCGTTGACAGCCACACAGAGTGGTGCCACTCTAAAGAGGACTGCAGTGTGTATCGACATTTAAGAATCAGGGGAAATGTTACAATGTTTTATTTATTGTCTATTCATATTGCTGTTTTGGAGTGAAAAAGTTTTCAACCATGTTCTATTTCATAAAACTTTAAGGGCTTCTGAACATTCAGATTATATCAAATAACTACATAGTAGATATTTTGTACAAATCATAAAAACATCAATCTGTTAAATGCAAAAGACCGCAGAATAGTTTTTATTAGTCTTAAGGTAAAACTTTTTAGACATAAAACAATAAATCATCTGGTGTTTATTTGGCTTGGGCTCTAGGACCTTTCCTCAAGAAGGAAGTGAAAATATGCAAAGCTTCCGTTTTTCTTTTTTTTTTCTAAGAAGAAGATTTAAGTTTTCTGTCTCTGTCTTGTGATGTCCGCCTCTACGAAATGTAGTGATGTCATTTATTTAGGCCGTAGGTTGAATGACACTAAATGACATATGCTCAGTATGCTTGCAGCGTTGACCACATGACTGGATGACTTCATGTCAATAGGACTTGCTATTCGACTAAAACAAACAACTAAATAAGTAATCTATCATATCAGAGATCAAAACAACTAAATACAGTGACAAATTGATTTTCCTTTCCCTGAACCCTCTCTCTCCCTCCTCTCCTCCCTTCTCCTCTCTCTGTAAGTAAAGCCCGGATATCTCAGGCATCGATTCCCCTCAGGTGTCCTTCCTGTCTCCCTCTTTCCCTCCTTATCCGCAGGAGCCGGAGTGCCTGGTACAACTGGCGGGCCCAGCTGAAGGTGGGATGAGAGAGAAGGGCTGAGATAACAGTAAGGAGGAGGTGTGGGTGCTGCAGCAACACGATAGCTTTCGTCCTCATCTGAAACTCTGTGACCTCCTCCTCGCTCTTGTCTCTCTGTCTGCCTGTCTCACAATAACATACACACATGTACAGAGATAAATCCGAATACAGAGAACATGGGTGCATACTGTCACACCTCCCTGCATATTTATTAAATCTCTCTTTCTCACTCTCACTTTCTGTGCTGCAGCTATGACTCTAAAGGCACCCTGTTTTGGAGATGAGCACGCTGTGTATCACAGACAGTAAAACCATTACTACAGGAACTTTCTTCTTCATCTCAGGTTCACTTCACATCCTCGCTCTCCTCTCACCATCCTCTTGCTACTTACACATCACACTCATTGAGACCAGTCATGACAGAGGTCGCAATCTGCTTCAATTACTCCTCCAGTATTGCCCAATCGATTCCTTGAGCCTTTTTATGTCACTTTACTCTGGCTGCAAATGGCTGCAAACGTTTGATACAGCCCGCTGTGAGAAACTGTTGAGGACTATTCTTGTGGATGTCAGACGATAAGGAGGCAAAAGCGATGAAGTGTGTCTGTGTGTTCATGCAAGTTGTGTGTGCCTGTTTGACCTGTGATCTAGGGGCCACGTTAGCAGCGTATGGATCCAATTGGGCTGCCAGGATGCTGACAGAGTGTCAGTGGTCAGTCGTGCCACAGGAAGTGATCAATTGTGAGCTCTGTCTCTATCTATTTCCTGCCACAGAGGCAGTGTCTGCTTGAATCACGCTGTCCACAATTTATTATGTCTCTCTCTCAAGTAATGCCAGCTGTTGTTAAAAAAGTGTCTTGCAAGAATTCCATTGTTGCTAGGTTCATTATAGGTTCGTCTGTAAAGTCTCGCTGGTTTGAAAACGTATCTCTTGTGCTATGCAGAGGAAAGCTACAGCAGTCCTACTGTTACCGATTTAGCTCAAGTTTGTTTGTCTCCCAGACTGCTCTTCATCTCCACCCTGTTGGCCCACTCCAGTGTGTCACTACAGACCATCCCATCTCTGTTTAGTTGTTTGTTTATGTTTTCTCCGGTGCTACCACCCTCTTCCCGGTAATATTCCACTGCCGGTGAGCTAAACTGGGTGGCATGGTGTGAGAGGCTGGGTGTGTGAAGGGTGCTACAGTTGCGTGTAGACCGCAGCCCTCAGAGCGGGCAGTGATATGCTGAATGTTTTTTGAGAATTACAAATGTTCTCATGCAAATCCCTGTTTGGAAAAATCCTCCTGGTGCCCTCACACTGGTTTGTTCAGATTGTGGGGAAACAAACCTGCCATTATAACCCAATGGAACTCTTCCACCCAAAGCAATAACAGTGCTATCTCTGAATATACCACTCTGTCGCCCAGTTCACATATTGCCCAGACTCCCTCTAGACCTTCATTGTTGAGGGGGTGTAGGGTGTTTCTCCTTCCTCCATCCTCCACCCCTTCCATTCTTCACCCTCATACTCATTCATCCTCCCCTCCCCCAGGGACTTACCTGTCTGTTGCGTTCATCCATAATCCGCGTGATCTGAATCTTTTTCCTCCCCATCGTCCCAGTCTCTTTCTTTCTCTCCTCTTTCTAAAGAACTTTATGCTTTCTTCTCTCTCCTCTTTCTTCTTCTTTCTCCTCACTCTTCTGCTCTTCCTTTATCTGTCTTTTTTCTGCTTTCTATTTGTTCCAATCAACTCAAAGATTCCAGCATCCGTACCTGCAAGAAATAAATGGGGAGGGGGAGGAGAGGAGAGGATAAGCATTAAATGAAATGAAATATGGCAAAATACTGAGAGAAAAAAAAATAATAAAAGTGGCATCGTGGCAGCCACAAGGGAGGGTGAAGAAAGACAAAGAATCTGTCAACAATGTTGTGAGAACGGCTGTGTTTTTCACTGTCGATATCATGCAAATCAGCTTTTGCATTTTTTTCCCAGGCACCGACTATGAGAAGAGACAGCGCTGTCAGGATCTCGCTTCGTTCACAGAGAGTTTGACAGTGTTTTGGAAGTGCCGCTAACTTAAATGCTCTAATCACCAACACTGTAACATTACCTCCAGACTGAGAAATACATTTTGTTTCTTCCCACGAACTGCACTGTATTGACAGTGGAGCTGCCAGACACAGCTTTTTTGACTCTATCTGCTGCTCATCTCCAAAATGGCAGACATGAGTCGCAGGATAGAATACAGATGTAAAACCGAGATCACTCTTGCCATATTTTGGCAAAACAAAGCCAAAAAAAGACAAGGAGACGAAAAGTGCCAAGAGATCTTTTGAAACATGGGTAGAAGGACGTTTCTTTGAGACAGAAATCAAAAAGAATTCCAACATGAACCTAATCCAGCTGGAGACATTGCATTTCAGTGAGAGCATCTTAATAAATGCACTTGCGCGTTTGCTTGTGTGCACACGGCGAAGTGCATGCGTACGTGTGTTCAAGGAGTGGAGGCCAGCAGCTGATGAGCTGGACTGCATGTGCGAAGTAGAAAGCTGCGCTCCAAAAAGTTTGCGTGAGTGAGTGACTCTGTGTGTCCACGCGTGCGTGCATGTGTGAGAGTGTGCACATGTTTGTGTTTGTGTGTGTGTGTGTTTGTGTGTGAGTGTGTTCTTGTCTGAGCTTGGCTAAGCCAGAGCTCCAGTGCATCTCTCCAGAGTGCTAAAGTAGGCCAACCCAATCTATCTCAGGGAGGAGCAGAAGAACTGTTGTTGTGTTTTCTTTTGACAGTAGAGGTGATAACGTCCCTCGTTATGCAAATGAGCATCCCATTATTTAAGCTCAGTGCAATGCAGGGGAGCTGTCAGCGCCGTCACATAAAAAAAAAAAAAAAAAAAAAAATTCCTCCATCTACCCTGCCTTTTTTCTCTACTTTCCCCTTCTTCTCTCTTCTCTCCTTTCTGAACCAGATTTCCGGCATCTGGCAGCACAAGCATCAGACATTGATGTGGAAGACGACACTGCTTCACCAAAAGACATGTCAGTCTCAGTCTCTCTCTCCATCACTCTCTCTCTCTCTCTCTCTTCTCTCATACAACCTTGCTCTCTTCCTCAATCTCTCATTTTCTCTCCTTTGCACACTCCCGCACACATACATGCACATTGTAATGCACTTCCGTTCCCCTTCTTTCCTTTTTTTGTCTTCCCGTAACCTGAATCCATGTATTTATTGAGTAACATGCATGAGAAAGCACAGGAAAGCCCTAAACCCCTGAGGTGAGCGTAGCACATTGCTATGCACTTGACCTCTTTGTGCTAGAGAGTAGGACATTGATAATGAAAGTGATAATAGGGTCATCCAGGGATGCTGTGTCTCCTAGTGACAGACGGAGGCCTATAGCAGTAGTACATAACTGTAGATATTTTCATTTGCAACAGAAGACACAGGCTGTGTACTACCTGCTTGGATCCTTCAAGACCGAGGGTTCTGTAGTGTTTAGTTGAGTTAGGTTTAACTATGATGATGTGGGCGATGTGGAGTCCATATGCATAACATAGATTTAGTACATTTATTACATTTTTAAGGAATGACATCACACTGATTATTGTGTATATTATAAGATTCTTAGCCAAAAACTTCCATCACAGAAAAATGGACAACAAAGTGAGACAATACAATTTGAAGAACAATGATGAAATACATGACAAAAACCTCCCTGGTTGATGGTTTGGAATACGCCCACTTTATGGAAGAAATGAGATGCAAACATAAATGCATCATTTGGCAGTTAGGACAACAGCCGGACTGCACCATCATAATAATAACAAGATCTAAAATAACTCAGTGGCAGCTCTGAAGAGGCTATCCAAAACATTTTAGCATTGCTTTGCGCAAACACACCCATCCATAGACAGAAAAACAAAGAGCTGCCCTCTGGAAGAAAACAAAGAAGGATGTTGTCAGACAAACTAGGATTACAAGCCAACACTAAGGCGCTTGGCACAAGACAGCCAGACAAGGATATCAATCAAGCTGGCGTACTTCAATCACAGGCTGACAAGCATCCTCCCCTCCCCTCCCAGTCTTTGTGCCGGGCATCGCTCCAAACAAGGAGGCGTTACCTCCGTGATCCTGCCTCCTGGCCTCCACCTCCTCGTTCCTCCCACAGCACACTGAGCAGAACTGAACCTCTCAATGTCAACAACCACTGGTGTAACACCTTAGGCCTTACGTAACATTAAGGCTAAGACTAAGCCCGTGTCCTGAACATTTAATCCCTGCTTTTGGCTCTCAGCACCAGCTAACGCTCCCCGAGGTGAGGTTCTGCTGCCGCTTAGCCCCGTGGCGGAGTCCCCCGCCTCAGCCACCCCCTCCTTCCCCATCCCTTCTCACTCTTGCCTCCTCTACCTCCTCCTACACAACAAACCTAGTTCCCCTTCCCTCTGTCCCCACCTCTCTTCCAACTCCCCCCCCCATCCCACCAACCCCCACCGACTTTTCCTCACACCCGCCCCCGTCCCATATGAATGCCAGGCAGCTTCTGGATGAGAACTGAGTGCCCACCTCCTCATCGGGCTCCCTTCCCTCTTATTTCCTCATAGTGAATAAAGCATCAGTTAATTTAACAGATTACCACTGAATCACTCAATCCAATTTAGCCTCATGACGCCAAGACAGCGGAATGGAGGGGAATGCAGGAAACAAGCACTGCTTAGTGAGGATGGTCGTGTGGCACAGGGCAGTAATCCTGAGCAGGAATGTTTCGAGGGGGACTGACACTGACACCTGACCTTGAGAGGGCAGATACGGTGAGAAAGAAAGAAGAGGATGAATAAATGAAGACAGATAGAGTGAGACAGAAGAAAGAACTAACAAGCTTGTCCACATAAAGCCACTTTGCTAATCCCAATGTAAGGCGTGGAGAAAGACGGAATGAGCTGTGAAAAATGATGAATACACTAAAGGGTGCCTTTATCTCCTCTGTGGAGTCTGACTAATGGTACGCCTGCATTCACACAAGCTCGGTAACTGGAAGGAGGCTGGAGAGAGCGACTGCTAGGGTCAGAGAGCACGCTCGCACCAAGCAGACAGAAGGACAACGGTTGCTCCTCTGCTTGTTTTATATCCTGGGTCCCAACTCTCTGTGCTTTGAGCTGGAGAGGTGACAATGAAAGAGAAGGAGAGTGGAGAGAGGAGAAACGGAGAAAAGGAGAGAAGAGAGGGAAATGGAGTGAAGCATAAAGAGGGATCTTTTGAACAGGCACCAGGCCTCTCCAGGGGGAGGGGAAGAGCTGTACCCACGACCCTCCCATCTGTTAAGCAGACGGACAGAGAGAGAGAGAGAGAGAGAGAGAGAGAGAGAGAGAGAGAGAGAGAGA